TGTAATTCTACTCCAGAATATCATATTCCAAGCCCTGTAGTCCTTTAATGTAGAAGCTACTAAATCTTATGTTATCCTGACTGTGACTCTATGATACTTGAATTGTTTCTTTCTGGCTGCTTGCAATATTTTCTCCTTGCCCTGGGAATGCTGGAATTTGGTTATAATATTCCTGGCAGTTTTCATTTTGGGATCCCTTTCAGGAGGTGATTGGTGGATTCTTTCAATTTCTACTTTGCCTTCTGGTTCTGAATATCAGGGCAGTTTTCCTTGATAATTTCTTGAAAGATGATATCTAGGCTCTTTTTTTTATCAGGCTTTCAAGCAGTCCAGTAGTTTTTAAATTATCTCTCCTGGATCTATTTTCCAGGTCTGTTGTTTTTCCAATGAGATATTTCACATTGTTTTCTATTTTTTCATTCTTTTGGTTTTGTTTTATTGTTTCTTGATTTCTTATAAAATCATTAGCTTCTATTTGCTCCATTTTAATTTTTAAGGAATTATTTTCTTCAATGAGCTTTTGGGCCTCCTTTTCCATTTGGCCAGTTCTGCTTTCTAAGGCATTCTCCTCATTGGCTTTTTAGACCTCTTTTACCATTTGGCATAGTCTGTTTTTTAAGGTGTTATTTTCTTCAGTATTTGTGTGTGTATATATATGTGTGTGTGTGTGTGTGTGTGTGTGTGTGTGGGTCCTTTAGCAAGCTGTCGACTTTTTTTTTTTTTTTGGCTAGGCAATGGAATTAAGTGACTTGCCCAGGGTCACACAGCTAGTGGGTGTTATGTGTCTGAGGTCTGATTTGAACTCAGGTCCCCCTGACTCCAGGGCCAGTGCTTTATCCACTGCGCCACCTAGCTGCCCCTGGACTTGTTTTTCATGATTTTCTTGTATCACTCTCATTTCTCTTCCCAATTTTTCCTCTACCTTTCTTACCTGATTTTCAAAATCCTTTTTGAGTTCTTTTGTGGCCTGAGACCAATTCATATTTTTCTTGGAGGCTTTAGATGTAGAAGCTTTGACTTTGTTGTCCTCTTCTGAATGTGTGTTTTGATTTTCCTTGTCACCACAGTAACTTTGTATAGTCAGAGTTTCTTTTTCCTGTTGTTTGCTCATTTTCCCAGTCTATTAGTTTACTTTTAATTGTTTGTTAAAGTAGGGCTCTGCTTCCAGGTTGGAGGGTGCATTGTCCCAAGCTTCAGGGGTTTCATGTAGGTATTTTCTTTTCTTTTCTTTTTTTTTTGCATTTAAAACATGTTTATTTTAAACAGGTCATTTTTTAAAAGTTTACATTGAAACAAAAACATTTTTGCTTTTAATAAGTTGTTTCAGACTAGATTTCTTTTTCCATCTTTCTATTCTTTTGCCTAAGTGGCATATCTATTGACTAAACCTGTAAGTGAATTTCCATTTTGCTTTTCTTGACTACCTGAGAAAACCTGTTCAGGAGACCAAATAAAATCTCCTGGATGAAAAACATGGAGCAGAAATTCATTTGGATGCAGATTTAAGCTTCTGCCTTTCTTCATCTTCCTTCTCAAATCCTGAACAGACAACAGATTTCCCTTTGGGGTACCGAGCACAGCACCTACGCAACTCTTGGATGACAGCCTCACACTTAGACTCCGTGTAGTTGTTGGCTTGCAAGCATTTCTGTATTTCACAGGCTTGTTTCTGGCAGGGATCCTTCTGGGACATATCCATTAAAACCTCTGCGTGGCTGTTCCGCTGGATCCGGGCCGACACACAGGCAGAGAGGAGAAGGAAGCACGTTAAAGAGGTCCGACACAGCCAAATGGTCACAGTCACTGCCGCCGCTCTGTTGAGAAAGAAAAGTTTTGTGGGTCACGACAGGCTGTTCTGGCACTCGGGGTGAGTCTCACGTAGGTATTTTCAAAGATACTCCCAGGGACCTGTAAGTTTTCAGTTCTTCCAGGGTGGTATGATCTAAGGAGAGATATTTACTACTCTCTTGGCCTGTGCTGTAGTCTGTGATCGACTACAAGCACTCCTTTCTGCCCTGGAACTGTGAGAAGCATCCCCACTCCATGGCCATAAGCTCTGCTATGCTAGTGCTCCTCTTCGCCCTGGGACTGCTACCCAGGCCTGCCACAAAGATCCAAGTATGGGCAAAGCAATGGAGTACTGCCTCAGTGCCAGCAAAAAGACCCCTGTAATCTCCTTCTGATCAGTTGTTTGACCCCTTTACTGTCTGCAGGCTGAGAGCTCCAGAAGCAGCTGCTGTCAGTGCCCCTGCTGATTCAGTCACTTCCAAAGCCTGATCCTGGTTTGCTACGGCCGGGGCAGTGCTGGCCGGGCCTGCCCTTGACTGTACTCCAGTCTCGCCTAAGTGCAACAGATCTTTCTTGCCGACCTTCCAAGTTGTCGTAGGCTGGAAATTTGTTTCACTCCATCTTCCTGCGGGCTCTGCTGCTCTAGAATTTGTTTAGAGCCAATTTTTAAAGATATTTGAAGGGGTTTGGGGGAGAGCTCAGGCGAGTCCCTGCCTTTACGCTGCCATCTTGGCTCCCGACCCCTTGCTATTTCTTCCATCTTACCTTGGCAGGAACTTCAGCCTCAGCCTCCCATCTCCTATACCTGTCAATGGCTTAAATCAGAGTCCCCAGAAAGCCAGTGATTCACCATTCACTTAAAAAGTCACAAGTCACAAAACTGTATTTATGAAATAGACATTCCTTTTAAAATAATACCTTAGTCTCTTCAAATAATTGTGTGAGAGATATGAGGTCATATAGTAAAGGATCTCAACTACAGAGGCAGATTAGGCATGATATAAGAACAAATGTAGAGCTATCCAAAAGTCTCTCTGAGAGAGAATGGTCTCTCTTCATGGAATGCCTTCATGGGATGAAACCAATAAGGTGCCCTGCCGAGAGTCCTGAGACCTTGGGTTAGGATCCTGTGTGATTTTGGGCTGGATGCTCAATCACCCTTGGTCCGAGTTTCCTTCTCTGTAACATGAGGGCATTGCTTGAGAAGACCTTTAACTTTTTTTAACTATAGATCTGTGATCCTATGTACTTCATATAGATGATCACTTGTCAAGCAATGTTAGACTTCTGAAGTCCCTTTAAATGCAGGGATTGGGAGAGGTGACTGGTAGACAAAAGGCAGCAATCTAGCACATGGATAGATTGCTAGGCTTGAGAGTAGGAAGACCTGAGCTCAAATCCAGCCTCAGACAACTTACTAGCTATATGACCTTGGGCAAATCACTTTACCTCTGTCTACCTCACTTTTCTCTTCTGTAAAATGGGTATAATAATAACCCCTATCACCCAACGTTGTTGTGAGGATCAAGTAAGATATCTGTAAAACACTCAACATGGTTAGTGCTTAATAAATGCTTATTCCTTTCCTTATTCCTTTCCATTCTCCCCCTCCCACCAAGTCTTAAGCTTCTCATACTCATTCCCTTTTTAACTAGTCTAAGGAGAGACCGCATGATATAGTGAGTAGACAGCCCAATTAGTTAAATGTTGGATTTACTGAACCTTTTAGCGTCTTCAGGCAAAGTCTATAAACTACAAATGAGTTGCAATCTGTATTTATTAATTTACCAAGAGGTTAAATAAAGGTGTTATTTTACCAAATAACTAAATTAATCTGGTATCAATTTACCAAAAGGTTTAATAAAGGTGCACAAAAGTAGCTACTGTGTAGCTCCAGCAAAAGTTCTCCATAATGATGAAATCCCTGGGCGAAACAAAATAAACTCCCATAGGATTCCCCTCCCCACTCCTCAAATATCCTGTGATCCAGTGACATTTGCTTTATTCCAGTTCACTTGGCACTAGGCATTTTCACTGGTTGTCCTCCAAGCCTGGAATGTTTTTTTCTCCTCATCCCTACCACTTGGCTTCCAGTCCCAGCTAAAATCTCTACAAGAAATTGTTCTCAGTCCCCCTTACTTCTGTTGCCTTCTGTTTGTTGATTATTTTCCATTAATCCTGATTACAGCTTTTTTGTACATAGTTGTTCGAATGGTATCTCCTTGTTATACTGAGAGCCCCTTAAGATCAGGAACTGTCTTTTGCCTTTCTTTGTATCCTTAGTGCTTAGCACAGTTTCTGGTACAAAGCAGGTACTTAATAAGTGTTTACTTACTATGACTTCAGTGTATGTTTTTCTACCTTTTATTTGCAACTTACCAGAGCTTGCATGAACCAGGAAACAAGACTTTGAAAACTCGAACAAGCAGTAGTGCAGTGTCATGGAAAGAGCCCTTAATTTGGAATTTAAAAAAACAAAAACAAAAAACTAACCAAAAAAACAAAATCCTGGGTTTAAATCCCATCATTGCCAGTTACTATGTATGTGATTTTCTTGAAGGCAAGGCAGCTAAGTGGAACTGGATTTGAATCAGGAAGGCCTGAGACACTTATTATGGGTGTGAACCTGGACACGTCACTTAACCTATATTAGCCTCAGCTTCCTGACATATAACCTAGAATAATAATAATGAATGTTTGATTGATAGGATGGATAGTACTTACCTCCCAGCGCTGTTGTAGGGCTCAAATAAGATAACATATGTAAAGCATTGTGCAAACCTTAAGGTGCTATATAAATGTTACTAGCTATTTATTCCTACTTTGAGCTCGTTTCCTCATCTGCAAATGAGGTGACAATTGTACTTTGATGACCCCTAAGGTGTCTTTCAGCTCTAAAGGGAATCCAGTCTTCCAAGTTCTGTCACGGAAACTCCGGGACCACGTGGCTCTATGGTCCAATGGGGCCCACAATTCAACCTTATCCGGCAAGTGACCTGAGCGTCTTTCCAGCCTTGGGCTTTGCTGGGAAGCGGAGGACAAAAAGATTTGAGATGGAAGAAAGAACTACTACTCCCGGGATGCCTTGCGGCACTTACTCCGCCCCGAGCGGGGAGAGCAGGCCCCTGATTGGCTGAGCGGAGGGACGGGGGAAGGGCCCGGGGAAGGCGAGCGCCGGCCTGTTCGCTGCACGTGCTGGCGGCGGCGGCGGCTGCAGGGCCGGATGGGTTTGTACGGTTGCTTCACCGCGGTCCGAGCCGCTTCGGGTCGCTGGCTTCGGCAGCATCCCCTCTGCAGGGCATGGGGGCTGCAAGGCAGCCCTGGGAGGAGCTACGCTGGGGGCCTCCCCCAGGTGAGAGCGCGCCGGGGCTACGGAGGGCCAGGATGGGGAGGACACTGCGGAGATGGAGGGGGCAGGGGAGGGAGGAGCCCATTTAAGCCCCGGTCCCAAGCGTGGTGGGTCGGGCTTATCTGCAGCTCCTGAAGCCCTCCGGGCTGGAAGCCTCGGCTCGGGCCCCGCGATTTAAAGAGCCGCTGGTAGCGGCTTCCACTGCCTGGCACTGCCACGCCCTCCTTCATTCCGCCCGCCCCGGGGAAATCTGTGAAACCTCAGTAATATCCCTGCTTTCCCTGCAGGGATTTACGGACTCCTCAGGCTTCTTTCCGTCCCTTCCCCTCCAGGTGGCTTGCTTGTGGATTCCCTTTCTTTCCACCTGCTTCGGTTGTTTTTTTTTTCCCCACAATTTGCACTTTTTGTTTCGATTTTTAACATTTCTTTAAACCAAAAGTGATTGGGGAACTCGAGCTATCCCTCCGTTCCTCTTTAAACTGCCCTGCACCCTCTCCCCCTAAAAAGATGTCACGGAGGTATTCTGCTGTCCAGTGGGGTGATGCAGCAGCAGGAGAGGAGAGGGAGGTGGGTTGGCATGAGAGTTTGTAAGCCAGGGTCAAAGGACGTAGGTCGTAGACAGAAAAGGTAAGGCTTGAAATTTGTATTATTTTATGTCTAAAAACTATCCTTTAGGTATAAGCCGGTTTTTATAGTGCAGAGACCGGTAGAATGGCAGCTGGAAAGTTGGAAGGGACCCTAGAGGCTGTGTAGGCCACTCGCCTCATTTTAACAGGTGAGGAAACTGAGCCCCACGGCGAAGTGATTTGCCCAAGATCAATCGGGGAGTCGGAGGGAGAATTTCAGACTTGAAATTTTGGTCTTTTTACTCTGCTGCCTTAAAAACAAACAAACAATAACTTGATACATCTTCTTTTGACACCACTCTACAAAGTGCTTCATCCAAAACAGTCTGTTCTTGGTTAACTTTGATAGTGTGTGTGTTACTAACATTGACCGCTGTGTTTGGCTTGAGTTACGTTGCCTCTCAATATTGACTTCATTGACACTGTTGTAATTCGTATGTATAATGTTTTCTTAGTTCTGCTTTCTTCACACTTTCTTCACACTTCAATTCATACAAGTTTTTCCTAATTATTAATATTTGTCATTTCTAACAGCATAGTGATATTTTTTGCATTAATATGCAATGGTATATATAACTTTTTTGATTGACATCACAATATTGTTATGGACATAGATAGGAGTTTTCTTGTTGTCAGTAACTTTTTCAGGGAAAAATCCCAGGTAGTAGAAATCCCTGGGTTAGAGTGTATGAAAAATTTAGTGATTTTTCCCCATAGTTTCAAAGTTTTTTCCAAATCGGTTGAATCAATTCAAAATTTCACCATCAGTATATCTGTTTCCCCACACAGTTCCTGCAACAATGACTTTTCTTGTCTGTTATCATCTTTGCTAAGTTTATGGATGTAAGGAGATAACCTAAAGTTATTTTAATTTGTATTTCTCTTATCATTTGTGATATTGAACTTTTTTGTCTTGTTATTGATAATTTGTTTTTGTTAAATCATTCATATCACTTGACTATTTGTCTATTAAAGAATGGCTTTTAATCTTATAGTTGTGTCAGTTTTCTATAAATTTTGAATATCAGACCTATGATCAGATGCTTAATGTAAAGATTTTTTTTTTTTAGGCAATTGGGGTTAAGTGACTTGCCCAGGGTCACACAGCTAAAGTGTCAAGTGTTTGGTCTCAGGCAGTGTTTGAACTCAGGTCCTCCTGACTTCAGGGCCAGTGCTCTATCCACTGCGCCACCTAGCTGCCCCCAAAGATTTTCTCACACTGTGTCTTCCTGGGATTCTACACTTGTAATATTTGTGCAAAAGCTTTTAGATTTTATATTTTCTCTCTCCTACTCAATGTGTTATTCTTTTTTTTTTCCCTTTTTAGGCAATTGGGGTTAAGTGATTTACCCTTTTCTCAATTCTCATTCTTCTTGAGTTTGTTGCAACAGTTGACACAGTTGACCACCCTATCCTTCTGGTGCTCTTCCTTCTCTGTTTTTTCATGATATTGTTCTCCCTTTAGTCTCCTACCTGTCTCACCTTTTCAGCCTCCTTTGCTGTTTTATCATTCATATCACACTCCATAACTGGACATTCCCCACGGCTCTGTTTTGGAACCTCTTTTATTATTTTTCTGCACTTTCATAAGCTCCTTGTAAATCACTTTTAAATATACGTCTTATATACATATTGTAGTTTTTTTTTAGAGCTCTAGTTGTTGAACTTTAACTGCTTGTTGGATAGTTCAAACTACTTGTGCCAAGGGCATCTCAACTTCATCATGTCCAAAACTGAACTCATTTTTTCCCCAAACCCACTCTTTTCCAGTCTTTATTTTATGGAACATACTGTCATCTAATCACTGAAGTTCTCAAACATCACCTTTGTCTTTGAATCCTTACTCTCATTCTGATCTTATTTGCTCAATTGACAAATTTTCTTCCTGTTGTCACAATGTCTCTCACATCTTTCCCCTTCTCTGTTTTCATATGATCACCACTCTACAGCAGAACCTGATCCCATTTTGCCTGGACTGTTGTTGTTCAGTTGTTTCAGTCATGAGCAACTCTTCATGACCCTGCATTTGGTGTTTTCTTGGCAGTGATACCAGAGTGGTTTGCCATTTCCTTCTGGAGCTCCTTTTGCAAATGAGGAAACTCAGGCAAACAAGGTTAAGTGACTTGCACAAGGTTACATAGCTAGTAGGTATCTGAGGCTGGATTTGAACTCATGAAGATGAGTCTTCTTGACTCCAGGCTGAGTGCTCTATGCCTAGTACTACTTAGCTGTCCCTTGCCTGGACTAACAACCTCTTAATTTGTCTCGTCTGTCTTCTTTCCAATTCATCCTAAAGCAATAGATAGGACAACCTCACTTCCCTACTCAGTAACCTCTAATAGATTCCTGTTGTAAACTACTCTGACTTTTAAATCCCAGACTCAGCCTACCTTCCCAACTTTTTACACTATTCCCCTTTTTCTTGTCTATAGTCCAGCAAAACTGGCTTTTTTGATGCTCCTCATACATGACACTACCATCTCTTGTGTCCATATGCTTGGGGTGCAGTCCTTATATACCTCAACCTTTTAGAATCCTTTGTTTCCTTCAAAACTCAGCCCGAGGACCACCTTCTATAACATAAAGCCTTTCCTCATATTACTTCAGATCCCAATGTTTTTCCCTATTCAATTTGCTTTATACTTATTTGCATATATTTTGTATGTGCTTAGTTTTGTACACAGTATCCTCTAATAGAATTTAAGTGATACATTTTTAAAAGGTTTATTAATTGAAAAAAATGAGAAACTATTAAAAAGAAGAAAGAGAAGAAGGGAATTAGAGCTTTGGAGAAGGAAGCAGTTTTTTGTTTTCCTCTAAAATGATGATATATGAATTCACAGATGCTATAAGTTTTGAGAAGTTATTTGATGAGTCGGAGGAAAAAAGATACAAGTGGTAGGAGTTGACTTCTTGCTGAGAGGTGCTGAGGCAATCGTTGTTTGACATGACATTAAAAATATAGACATCTGCCGTCTTCCATGGGTGTGTTTTGAGAATGTGATGGAGAACCTCCCAGGACTTGTCAAATTTGATAATTACTACTCACTCTTGGTGGTGACAACTTACAATGCCAGAAACAATCTTGATAGTGTTTATAAGGATTATGAAGTCTTAGGCAAGAAACTGAAGAATTTAGGGTCATAGGTGGTGTTTTTAGTATCACCACCAATTAAAGACAGGTACTTCAGAGGAAAAAAGAGGGTTTCACCAGTGAATAGCTGCTTAAGTTATTATCTGAAAATAAAATGAGGCATTCTGCATAATGGCTTAAAACAGTAGTGTCAAACTCAAATATAAATAGAAGCTTTTTTTGACATATTGACTTAGAAAACTGCAAATTAACATTATCTCTGTTGTGTTGTAAAATGTTATTTCCCAATTACGTTTTGATCTGTTTTCTGGCTACAGCCTATGTGAGTTTGACACTTCTGTGTTACAATACAGGAAGAATCAGTTCTTGTACAAGGCTGGAATGCATTAGCAAAAATACTTAACCATCTTTATTGAGTTAAATCACCTGGTCCAGATGAACTACATCTTAGGGTATTGAAGGAACTGGTGGATGTAATGGATTAGCCACTGTGAATTATTTTTTAAAGATTATAGGGACTGAGAGAGGTGCCACAGGACTGAAGAACAGATGTTCTATTGATTTTCTGCAAATCAAAGAGAGTGTAGTCTATGTTGTGTAGGCCAATGAGCTTGACTTTGATTTTTGACAAAATTCTAGAATGGAAATGGTTACTGGATTTTTAGAAGAGGAAGTGATTATAACAAAGAATAAGCATTGACTTTGATCATGACCTAGAACAGATCACAATGGATTAACCTCATTTTTAAAAACAGGATTACTAGACTGTTGTATCAAGGGAGTTCTTTATGTATAATTTATAATTTACCCTACATTTTAGCAAAGCATTTGACTCATGTAATGCACAAGATGGGGAGATGTGGGCTTAACAATAGTACAGTTTGGATTTCAAACTTGATGAATAATGAGATGCCAAGAAGCTATTTAAAGTTATCTTGGAAGGAGGTTTCTAGTAGAATGTCTTAGGACAGTGAGATGACCTGGTATTTATTATTGCCCATGCCTTCTTCTCTCCTGAGTATCTATAGATAAGTCGTATGGCCTTTACTTTTAGGTCTTGCATTTAATAAACCAAATATAAGGACATATTGCTTTCAGCACTGACATTGACTATCTCTTCTCACTTTTCTTCAAAGCCTTAGAAATGCATTGCCAACTACACACTTCATATCTCTACCTCGATTTCTTATCAGTATTTCAAACAGGATGGAATAGAACTCATCATCTTTTTCCAATACTCCATACACTTCATCTTCCTAAAAGAGGGAGTTAAACTTGTTAGC